AGTGGCAGCAGCAATGGGCTCATGTGTGCCAATTGTGAAAATGATGCAGGACTAGGCACTGTTTTGTTCTGCATAGGGTCCACTTGACGGCACCTAACAACAACCACCTATTTAGAGCCTTCCTCACTCAGCCCCCTCAGCCCTGGCACTAGGGCCTAAGTAGCACCTCCCCTTTGATGCTCTTCCTTTCCTCTGCAAGCTTTTGCTGCCTAGAGTGGGTTTAGGCATCTCAATCTCTTGCTTGACTTCTTAGGGAATTCAAGCCCTGGGAAGTTTAAGTAGCTCTTTTTTCATATAATCTGGCACTTCTCAATCCTCTTAACAGTAAATTTTCTGACTTCCTCGAGGTGGTGGCACAATATAGCCCTGTTTGTCTTCAAGGACAGAGCTTCTTCCTGCTTTGCTAAGGACCAGATTAGGCTAGACACTGACCCACTAGTCTCAGAATGGCTATGCCCAACCTGTCCTGCTGACCTGAGCTCTCTGACCTCAGATGAAACCTCAGTGGGTTCCAGTTTCCCTGGATCCCACTAAGGGTGGGTTGTCTGTGCTGAACCAGTTGCCTGTGGTTGCATGCTCTAGGGAGCAGAGACAGGGTTCCCCTTTCCCTGGGCTTACAAAGTCACAAGCAATGAAAGAAAAGCACTGCTGCTCTAATTTGACCTCTGCAGCATGTGCATTCTCCCTTGCGCTGTCTAAAACCAGGCTTCCTGCAAAGCCCATTCTTCTCTATGAATAAATAACTATACTAATTATTACCCCTTATCTATTGAAGGTGGAATCATTCAAAAACAGCTGTAGCAGTACACTGATAGGGAACTATCAGAGGTTCAGGCTGGATTAAGAAGGGGACATGGAATGAGGGATATCATTGCAAACATTAGATGAATCTTGGCTGAAAGCAAAGAATACCAGAAAGATGTTTACCTGTACTTTATTGACTATGCAAAGCCTTTTGATTGTGTGGATCATGACAAGCTATGGACAACATTGTGGAAAATTAGTATTCTGGAACACTTCATTGTGTTCATGGAGGACCTGTACATAGACAGACAGGTAGTCATTGGAACAGAACAAGAGATCACTGAATCGTTTAAAATCAGGAAAGGTGTGTGCCAAGATTGCATTTTTTTCACCATACGTATTCAATCTGTATTTGCTGAGCAAATAAACTGGGAAGATGGATTATATGAAGAAGAATGTGGCATCAGAATTGGAGGAATGACCTGCGATATGCAGATGATACAATATTGCTTGCTGGAAGCCAAGAGGACTTAAAATACTTGCTGAAGAAGATCAAGAACTACAGCCTATGGCATATGTTGTACCTCAATGTAAAGAAAACAAATATTCTCACCACTTCATCAGTAAATAACGTCAAGATAAATGAAGATTGAAGTTGTCAAAGACTTCATTTTGCTTGGATCAACCATCAACATTCACGGCAGCAGCAGGCAAGAAATCTAACGATATACTTACTGCATTACACAAAATTGCTGCACAAGACTTCTCTAAAGTGCTCAAGAACAAAGCTGTCAATTTGAGGACTACAATGCGCCTGACCCAAACTATGGTATTTTCAGTAGGCTTATATGCATGTGTTGGACAATGAATAAGGAGACTATAGAATTGATGCACTTGAGTTATGGTGTTGGAGAAGAATATTAAAAGTACCATGGACTTCCCGGAGAACAAATAAATCTGTACTGGAAGGACAATCAGAATGCTCCTTTGAAGCAAGGATGGCCAGACTTCATCTCTTATGCTTCGGACATAAATTATCATGGGAAAAGACATAATGCTTGGTAAAGGGTCAATACAAAAAAATAGGAAGATTCCCAATGAGATGGATTGGCACAGTGACAGTAGCAATGGGTTCAGCATAGCAACTACTGAGATTGGTGCAGGACTGGGCAGTGTTTCATTCTGTTGTGCATAGGATTGCTATGAATCGGTACTAACTTGATGGTACCTAACAATTGAAGGTAACACAGAAATGTGGGTTTAATTGTTTCATTCCATTGCTGAGTCAAAACAGACTCAACGACACCCAACAAATGTATCTATTGGGTACAAGTATGTGTCAGGCACTGGGCTGACCACTTGACATGGATTAAATATATATAACAATGTATTTCAGGGGACCCCAGGACCCCAAGTTATTATATATATGTGTGTGTGTTAAATATATTTAACAATTAATTTCAGGGGACCCCAGAATCCCAAGTTGTTGTTGTGTGTGTGTATAGGACCAAACAATTTCCACTCTGTTATACATGAGGGGGATGAGTCAGGATCAACTTGATGGTACAACAACAAATATCTAAATATAATACACATACACACATAACCAGTTGCCACCAAGTTGATGTCAACTGATGATGCCAATTCATGGTGACTCTTGTGTTAGAACCATGCTCCATAGAGGGTTTCAATGATGGATTTTTCAGTAGATCACCAGACCTTTCTTCTGAGGTACCTCTGGATGGACCTGAACTTCCGATCTTCTTGTTAGCAACCAAGTACATTGACTGTGTGTACCACCCAGGAACTCCATATATATGGGACTCCTGGTGTGGCACTGTAGGATCAGCACTGGACTGTGAACCATAAGGTCAGGAGTTTAAAAACCAACCAGCTGCTCCTCGGAAATCCTATACAGGGTCGCTAGGAATTGGAACTGACTCATCGGGACTTACCAATAATAATCTTATATATGTGTATATGTGTGTGTGTGTCACAAAAAATAAAACCAAGAAACTCCTGCTGTAAGTCAGGATCAAATGAGGAAACTGGAATTAGCCAAGTCTCACTGTGAGTAAGTGGTGGCTCTACAATTTAAATGCTGGCTGCCTAACTCCTCAGGATGAGCAGGTTCCTAATGCTCTAAGGGATATGATAATAAATGTTTTAACAGCTGGACCTCCAATTGGTTAAAACCTCTGATTTGCAGAGCAAGTCCATTTCTGTGGTATAAATAATCCTACCATGGCCAATTTCAAGGACCCAAAACATGGGGTTAGGCACAGTGTTGTTGTTAAGTGCCATCGAGTTAATTCCAACCCATAGTGACCCTGTATAGGGCTTCCAAGGAGCAGCTAGTGAGCTTGAACTGGCAACCTTGCAGTTCAAATGGCTTTGCGGTCCGGTGCATTAACCCATAGTGCTGCACCAGGACACAGTTGTTGTTAAGTGCCGTGGAGTCGGTTCCAACCCATAGCGACTCTGTATAGGGTTTCCCAGGAGCGACTGGTGAGCTTGAACTGCCAACACTGCAGTTCAAACGGCTTTGCAGTCCAGCACATTAACCCACAGCGCCACCCCAGGACTTAGTAGCACCCTTTTATATGGCATTTCTACCAGATACTATAGATTTAAGTAACCTAAAAAATGCAGTTAAGATGTGATAAAATAAGAAGAGTTCTGAATACTATCTTTGTTTATAAAATATCTAGGTTTATATAATTAAATTTTTCATAACAGCTAGGCTCAGCGATAAGTTCTTAAAATTCCTGAAAATTTGACAGTTGACTCTTACAGGCCAATAAGGTGTAGCCCCAGTACTGCATGTCCACCTTACTGCCCTAATCAACAAGGCAAGGATGCTATCTGCTTTGTTTACTGCTAAAGCATGAGCATCAAGTATATACAGTGCCCTTCCACTGTAAGGAGCTCTGGTAGCATAGTGGTTACGAAGCGGGCTGCTAACTTCAGGGTCAGCAGTTCGAAACTACCAGCTGTTTCACGAGAGAAAGATGAGGCTTTCGCTCCGGTAAAGATTTACAGCCTCGGAAACCCTGTACAGGGTCGATAGGCATCAGAACCGACTCCATGGCATATTAGAACCACCACCCACTGTACATACTTAATATTGAAGCCTGCTGCTTCTACTTCTTAATACCTAAAACCTGTCACCTTCTCTCCATCTTCACCAAGACTTCTATACAGCCAAAGTGGTGTCCCCAGGACTACTGCCACACCCTCAGACCGTCACAGGTCCAGGAGTAGCCCCTCCTGTCCTTGCTCCAGGAATCATATTATACTGGTGCAAAGTCTTCATCTTATCCATAACCTTTCATGACCCGTCTCCCCAGGTTCACTACCCCCAACTTTTGTTGAGGGCTTTCTCTGTCAGTCACGGTGCTACACCCCAGAAGCATGGGAGGAGTCATGCACTATCACTAAACAGTTAGGAGTAGGCCCACTACACTTTCAAGTTTGGCTCTTCTCTTCATCTGGAATAGAACCTAGATCTCTAAGATCCAGTGTTTTTGCAGAATGGGTACATCCACATCACCAAGTGCTGGTTTGAATCGTCTCTGGAGTTGAAAGCTAAACCCTGACAGATTAGTGTTCAGGGAGGGGGTTGGGGGCTAGGATTCCAGTAGCACTATGGAGAAAGAGCAGCAATCTTGGAAGGGAAACTTACGCAAGAAGACCTGCAGCCCTGAGTCCTAAAATTGGTCAGGGAATCTCCCATGCCCAATTTCCACCTGGATTGATCCAACAGGGGGTGGCTTTGGACAGGAAGGCAAAGGCAAAGGAAAGGGAAACATGCAGACTCTACGTGCCTTGCTGGATGTACTTGCACAAGCGTACACAAGGAGTGGGAGGTAGTCGTGCAATGACACCACAGTCCCTGATCCTCCCTCAGAATCCTAGTTCAGGCTTGGCCTTCCAGGATTGCTCCCAACCTCTGCAGCACTTAGCTGTGCTCCAAAGGTGGTTTTTCCCCAGGAACTTCCCCAGCCCCAGGGCAAACAGGGAAAGGGCTTGTCTAAGTCTGCAGGAAATGCAGGGTCTACGGATAGGACAGATAGGATGTAGCAGCTAATTCAGGGTGCCAGGGGTTCACTCTCACTCTTCAAAACATTGGGACCCAGTTTAGGCCTTGTACCCCTGACAAGGCCTGCCTGCCTGCCTACCTTTTATTCTACAGTTAGTTCCACCCCTCTAGCCCCCCAACAGTCCCACTCCATAAGAAACCAGCAAAACCATCATGGTGAAGACATTTATTTAATATGGAGGGCTGGGGTATTGCTGTCTCTGTGTGTATGGGGGTGGTAGGGAGACAACCAGAGGGATTTGTGCCCTGGAGTAAGAGGCTGTTCTGGCCCCAGGTTGGAGTGTGGGGAGCACACTGAGGGGGTACGGGAGGTGTGTAAGGGTTAGGGTGAAGCTCTGCACATATCCATGTGACCACAGTCCAGGCCCACCCAGTCGCCAAAGCAAGAACCGAATAAATAAAGTGCAACTGTGGGGTTGGGGAAGGGGAGAGGGAGGGCCCTGGGCGTACCCACGCCCACAGCCCACATTCAGTGATGCCAGGTCTGGCCCACCTCCCGCCAGACTCTTGTCCAAACACTCCTATGTCCATCCCTCCATGAGCCAGGTGAGGGCCCTGTGCAGCTACTGGAGGTAGCGATAGGCCTTAAAGCAGTGGTTGCCAGCATCAGCCACCACCACGTGGCCATCCGAGGTCAGTGCTAGGCCCTGTGGGCCGTACAGTGGCTCTGCAGATGTGTTGATATAGGACAGGAAGGAGCCAGAGCTGTCAAATACCTGCATGAGGAGTGGAAATTGTGGGGAGAAGTGAGATCAGGCAGACTGGAGGCTCTGGAAGGCAGTGGCGGCAGGGGGCACAGAAGGCAGCCTCGCCCTCATGCCATTTCTGGGCCTTACTCACCTGGATACGGCTGTTGCCCCAGTCAGCCACAATGATGTTTCCATTGGAGTCCACAGCTACTCCTGTGGGGGCGTTGAACTGCCCATTGCCCTCACCATGGGAACCAAACTTGAAGAGGAACTCACCATCGGCACTGTACACCTGGCAGGGGAAGGGGCTAGGGACTAGGGACCAAGTCTCAGGCAGAGGTGAGAGACTAGAGGAGGATCAGGTGAAGCCTCAGACAATGAGGACCCTCAAATCTGAAGCTACAGCCCAGACCTTCTTCCTATGGCTTACTGGCCATCTCCAGCTGATGTTCTTGACACATCAAATCTAACAGCCCATTTTCCCAGAAAAAGCAGTTCTATGTTCTCTATCTCAGGAACCAGCACGACCCAGCTGACCATGAGTCATGCTTGACTCTCTGCTTCACAAACATTAAATACAACCTAAGGAGCTCTGGTAGCATAGTGGTTATGAATTAGCCTGCGAACCTTAAGGTCACCAGTTCAAAACTACCAGCTGCTCTGCGGGAGAAAAATGAGGCTTTCTGCTCCAGTAAAGAGTTATAGCCTCGGAAACCCTGTACAGGGTTGCTGTGAGTCGGAAGCGACTCCATGGCAAATCACCACCACCACTGATTCTATCTCAAATCCCTCTCTCAATCTGTACCCTATTTATACATTGCAACTGCCTTTATCCTCATCATTTCTCACCTGGATTACTGTAAAAGATTATCCTAAAGGTAAAACCAAAACTAGAGACATGTTTTACCTTTAGGATAATCTTTTCCAGTAATCCAGATGCAGAAGCCAGAGTGATCTTTCTAAGACACATTTTTGTTGTTCTTAAGTGCCGCCAAGTCTGTTTGGACTCAGACTCTATTAGGGTGTCCAAGGAGTGGCTGGCAGGCTTGAATGGCCAACTTTATGCTTAGAAGTCCAGTGCTTATCCTATATACTTCAGTACTCTCTTGCTTGCAATCAAGCCTCCCCATAGTTCTTAGGAAGAGAGTGAGCCCCTTAATGGGGTATATAAACCTCATCTTCCCTTGCACCACCCACACTGAAGCCAAGCCCAGGGCTGTGGAGCTGACTCTGGCTCGGAGTGACTGTACAGGACAGTGAAGAACCGCAGTCTTTAGGAAAGCAGATTGCCACACCTTTCTCCTGCGGTGCCAACCTTTTGTTGCTTAACCACTGTGCCACCAGGGCTCCCTTCCTTTGCACCACAGCCCTCTGCAAATGCAATGTGAACTTTCTGTGGGTTTTTGAACACACAATATAGGTTTCCTCCTTTCTGCTTTGCTTCAAATAACTGTCCCCTTTTCTACCACATGTGCTTTAGATTGTTCTCAGTCTCACCTGAATCATATGCATCCCCTGAGCCCTGTACTTCCCTATCACAGAATCTACCACATCGTGTTAGAACCAGGGACTGTATTTGCTTTATATGTCAATGGATTCCCAGTGTCTACCACAGTTCCTGGGACTGTAACCAGGCTATACATGTGTACTGTCTCAATGAATAATCTCAAGGAGGGAGAAAGAACGTGAGGGAGAGAGGAGTCCTCCTGAAGGAAGATTATGGGATGGCGTATGAAGGTGGGAGGATACTGACCTTCACTGAGTGATTATGGAAGTCTGTCACCACAATCTCATTCTTGTTGTTCACAGCTACAAAATGGGGCCCTAAAAATATAAAGTGGTCTCTAGGAGTCCTGGTATGGTGCTGTAGCATAAGCGCTGGACTGCTAACAGTAAGACCAGCGGTTCAAACCCATCAGCCACTCCTCAGAAACCCTATGCAGGGCTGCTCTGCGTCAGAACCAACTTGATGGCACTTAACAAGAGCTAGGGTGTTAAGGTGGGATACTGAGTGGGATGGGACAGAGTATCTGGAATGATAAAACTGTTAGGAAAGGGACAGGGTCTTTGGAGCTGAGGTAAGTAGGAGGAGGTGTCTGGGACAATGGGTCTAGGATGCAGGGACAGGAGGGCCTCTAGGGCCAACATATAGGGAGATGGGTGTTTGGAACAGTATTAGGACAGTTCTCTGAGACTAGGCTATCAGAACAGAAATCGGAATTGTCCCCCATACCTGCAAAGTGGCGGTCAGTGGCCCCACGGCCCCCAAAACGGCCAACCAGTTTGCCATTGGGCTGAAAGGTGAAGACGCAGCAAGACTTGTTGTCGACCACAATGATATGTCCATTCCGGTCTACAGCCACTCCTTTGGGACCCATGAGACGGCCAGCTCCAATCTTGGTCTGGAGGAAAGAGATTCCATAGAGGGCTTTGCCTTAGCCTGGCTCCAAAGCAGAACCTTGGGCTAGGGGTGAACCAGAGAGCAAGAGGCAGACATGGACCAGTCCAGGCCTTGACCATCAGGAGACACTAGAATGGCCAGCTCAGCTGACTATCAGGGGTGCAGACAGGACATGGGCAGCAGGCCTCTCACCTTGAACTTGCCTTCTGGGGAGAAGATGCTGACCCAACGGTTGTCATAGTCGGCCACAATAATGTCTCCATTGGTGTCCACTGCCACACCTGTGGGGCGCTGCAGCTGCCCAGGTGAGCGTCCTCGGACCCCAAACCGGAATTTGAACTGGCCCTCATTGGAGAAGACCTAGAGCAAAGGAGCAAGGAAGGGAGCGGGAAGGAGGGGAGAAACTGTGGGCAAAGAGGGAAGGAAGTAGGACCCTGAAGAAGGAGAACCGCCCCCATTCATACAGTCATTCAATAAGCACTTACTGACACCATGCTGGGACTATAGGAAGGAATCTAACATGGCCACAGACCCTAAGGGGTGTGTAGCATAGGTGTGAATGCTTTGCGAAAGTATGAAAGGGGCAAGACAGTGACCAGGAAAAGCTGCACAGAGAAAGGGGTATGTGGGCTGACAGTTTAATAAGGATGCCGAGAGATAGCCAAAGCTACTACTAGAAGGGGGGAGAGGGGGGCACAACAGAGTGAACAGGATGCAGAAGGCAAAGAGTCCAGTACTGCCATGCTCCAGGACCTGCCTGGCGAGCTGGATGGCCAGGAGCAGCACTCAGGGGAGTAAGAGAAGGAGTCAGATTTTATCCAAGGCATAATGGGGATCCACTAAAAACCAGTCAGAACAGTGACAAGACCAGATGTGTTTTTAAGAAAGAACACTCCAGCTGCAGGGAAGAAATCAAAACTGGAAGCTAGCTGACCAGATCAGGCAGAGGATGATGATGGCTTGCCCCTGGAAACTGGCTGGAAAGAAGCAGCTGCTCGCTGGCGATACACTGAAGGTAGACTCAACAGGACTTGGGAGCAGACCAGACAGGAGAGAAGAAAGTATCAGGGCTAATCCAGCGGGTCAGCAATTCCAGCCATTCCAGGTCAGCAATTCCAGCCATTCCAGGTCAGGGTTGGCGAGATAACCTTCCTCCAGGATAGAAAGGATCTTTTAAGGTCTCCCTCCTACCCTGGCTCCTTCTCCTTAGCAAGCCAGCATGCTCAGGCTCATCACAATCTAGAATAACCTCCCTTAAGCTAAACCTCCTTCCCTCTAATTTAAACCTTTTTACATTTTCTTCACAGTCAAAACATTACTCATACATAAGTCTCACACACTGCTTTGTTATAGGCTCTGGGGACACAAGAGGAATTAGAGCCAGGATCCACCTTAGAGAATCCAAGTTCTGGCCTTGTGCCTTGCTCTCTGATCCAGAACTCCTCCCTCCTTAGTGGGCTGGGTTTTCTCTCCTCACCCCACATTTAGGCTCACAGGGCTTCCTGAACTTGTCCCACCAACAGACATCACTCCCTCTGGATGCTCACAGTACAGTCCCTGGGTTCTGCTCTTGTCATCGTGGTGGGACAGTGTTTGCCAGGACCAGAGGGAGGCACCACAAGCCTTAAGAGTTGATATGAGAGGGACTAAAAGGTGCCACAAGCACATCGACCTCCTCCAATCTGAGCAGCCCAGCTTAAAAACTCAATCCTCTGGTCCCATCCCACCCTGTAACATCTGCCCAACAACTCCTCTTTGACTCTCAGACATGCCAAGTCACTTTTTCAGAGAAGCCTGTTTTGACCAACCCCCACTCCTGAATCAATATTTACACATAAAGTTAAGCCTTCATTAAATATCCTTGATAGCGCTCCTCATGACAATGACCACCTCTGGAACTAAGTAACTGTTAGATAACTACATACCCTTATAAGGATTTACGCTCTACATGGGCGGAGACTGTGTCTGTCTTGTGTGCTTCTGCGTTGCCAGCACTAGCGTAGCAAATGGCCCACAGGAGACAACATATGAATGAATTCCTCAGCTCAATCTCAAGCTATACCATCCTGGACATCTCTACTTGGATGTTGCAAAGCTCTGTCAAAATCAACATGTGCAAAACTGAATTCATCAATTTCTCTCCAGGCCTGGTCTTCCTCCTCCTGTGCCCCATCACAATGAATGGTAACACCCCTCACCCAGCTCACCAAGTCCTGCCAGTCTCAAATCCTACTGTATGTATTTGCTTCCTTAATATCTCTAGAATCTACTGGTGCCCTAGTTTGGTCCTTAACATTTTTCTCCTATTCCATAGTAGCAATAAGTAGATTCCAAATTAGAGGGATATCAGAGTCTCGTAGGGGAAAGAGACGAAAAAAAGTAAGACCAAACCAGAAAGCAAAACCCCAATGAAACGAAACACAACAGTGATTTCAGTAAGGAAGGAAAGTGAGACAGCAAAAGGCCAAGGCAGTTCGAAAGAGAATGTGATGACATGACCATTCTGCCTTAAGGAGATGACAGAGTTCTCATGAAGAGCTGTTGAGATTTCTGGATAAGACAATGCATACTATAATGTATTTCAATCAAATTCCTCATGATTTTTTTCCATCTGTCAAATGATGTACTTCATTTGTTGATTTGCTTCATCATCAACCATAGAAAGCACCAGGGGAAAAATAATTTCACATGGACCTTGCTATGAACTGAATGTGTGCTCTTAAATTTGTGGTGGAATTCTAACTTCTACACTTGCAGATGTAATCCCATTTGGATATAGGGATTTTGTTATGCTCATGAGTCCATATTGGTGTAAGCAAAAACCCCACACCATCTCAACAGGGTAAAGTGCTCCATAAGGTATCCATGGTGGCATATCCTTACAGAAGTACACAGCCTCATCCTGCCATTTTAGTTAGCAGCCCACAGCACCACCAAGGTTCCCTTTTATCAGTGTGGTACTGTTGGTAAGTATTGTCAGTTCTGATTCACAGCCACCCTTTAGAGGATTTCCAAAGAGCAGCTAGTGGGTTTGAACTGCTAACCTTATGGTTAGCAGTCCAGTGCTTATCTTGTAGCGCCACACCAGGACTCCTTTATCAGTGTGGTTGGTTGGTTGGTTATGTGCCGTGGAGTCAGTTCCGACTCATAGTGACCGTGTACAGGGTTTCCGAGGCTGTAAATCTTTACGGGAGCAGAAAGCCTCATATTTCTACCGTGGAACAGCTGGTAGTTTCGAACTGCTGATCTTGCAGTTCTCAGCCCAATTTGTAACCACTAAGCATCAGTGTAAGTATACTTAAACCTAAGGACTTTTGAGACATAAAAAGAGCAAATCAGGCATAAAAATGCGCCAGTACAAATGGGGAAAAGACAGATGCCATGCAGAAATGGCCAAAGAACTGAGGAACACCAGGCTAAAGAAGTTGAGACAAGGATTTTCCCTCAGAGTAGACAGAGGGAACCTTCCCATAGAGCTTGTGTTGTGAGTTCAGACTTCTAGTCTCCTTAACTGTGGAAAAACAAATTTCTATTTGAAAAGTCACCCACTGAAAGGATTTCTGCTACAGCTGACCTAGGCAACTAAGACAGCCCCCAATCTTTGTTAGCTGGTGTGAGGAAATCACAGCAGCTCTGCGAGCCTGGCCTGAGAGGACCTGAGAGGAAAAGCAGCAGAAACTTGATTTCAGAATCCAAGGACCAGACGCCTAGATGTTATGAAGTTGAGATGTGAGTGGGAATTAGAAGCCAGGAAGACAGCTCTAGGACTAGCAGACGTTTGGAAGAGAGAGGGCATTTTACCAGGCCCTGGCTCTCAAGTCCCCACCCTGGAAAAATAGACATGAATCACAGCCCTTCATGGCAGGAAACAAAGAGGCATAGGTCTTGCTGTGCATGTGAGCATCTGTGCGTGTGAACACACCAGGAAAGATGTCTGAAATCTCAGCCTTCTTGCTAGGAAGCATCCCTGGCATATAAGGAAGAAAAGGAGGTGGAGGAGGGGGAAGGGGAATTATGATCCAGTAGAGCCTCGATACAGCCTTTTCATCCCCTCCTCACCATCCAGGCTAGGCCTGTGCAGACCTGGGCCTCTCCAGTCCTCTGCTCTTGGAAACAGGGTGGGAATCAATGTAAGCTAGAAAGATGTGGGTAGAAAGCAAAGAATGGGGAAATGAGACGAATTTCTCTCAGGACTGAGGTGACAGACCTTTGGCAGAGCTGGAGCTCTGACAACAGTAAGAAGACAGGGTAAAGAAGAGTTCCATTTAAGAAGTTCAAATCTGTAGATGTTATAAAATAAAGTTCTTCAAGGCACAGTTTCACTAACTGATAATATACTTCCAAGGACTGAAGTGCATGGTTGTTGTTAAGTGCCACTGAGTCAATTCTGACCCATAGCGACCCTGTATAGGGTTTCCAAGGAGCAGCTGGTAAGCTTGAACTGCTGACCTTGCATTTCATATGGATTTGCAGTCTGGCGTATTAACCCACAGCACCACACCAGAAGTGCAGGGTAGTTGGGTATAATTTCCTATAGGAAATTATTTTAGGTAATCTTAGAAATTCCACAACATTATCTCTAAAACAATTTACAATGGGACCTCAGCTACCTCACCCCAATCCCTCACAGTAAGCCCCACTGGGATCTTTCCAGTTTCCTGAACAACCCCCACCAGCACTTTCCTACCTCCTCACCATTATTTACAACCCCCACCAAGAGAGTGATATTTTTAACAACTGCTAACATTAGAAGGTTCTTCACCGTGTGTCAGACAAGTACATTACATCATTGAATGCTTCCAGCAAGACTATGAGATATTACTTTCCTGATTTTACACATGGGTTAACTCAAGCTCAGAGAGGTCACATGACTTGTCTGTAAGTGGCAAAGTTAGGATTCATTGCCAGGTGTCTGGTTTCAGGGCCTGAACTTTTACCTGACACTGTGTCTACCACACTGGTGCCTGCTGGGCTCATTCCCAGAAACAGAGAAAATGAGCTCTCAGGGTAGCAAAGTCCATCCAGTGTCAGATACTCTAACCAGATATGTGGCAACCTGGGAAGGCAGGGGCAGGGCCCCCTGTGTGGTAGCGCTGAACTTGCAACCACTAAAAACACACACACAAAACCAACCGCAGTGGAGCAGACACTGATCCATGGCAACCGCATGTGTGTCAGAGTTGAACTGTGCTCCGGAAGGTTGTCAACAGCAATGAGCTTTCAGAAGTAGATCACCAGGCCTTTCCTTCAAGTGCATCAGGATAGACTAGAACTTCCAAATTTGTAGTCTGTAGCCGAGTACTTAAAAGCTCATGCCACGCCAGGACTCCAGTCATTTGAGAGACATGGTTTTGATTTTTGTTTTACCAGTTTCCCCTATTTGACTGTCTAGCCAACCAGATGTTTACAGAGACCAGCTTCAGGCAGCTAGGAGCTAGGCAGGTATTATGATAAACGATAGGCAAGCCTTCTAGGAGAAAAGGTAAGAAAGTAAGCAAGCCAGTGTAGGCTCAAGTAGAAGATGAGAGAAAAAGGAATGAAGTAGACTCTAGAAGCCCAAATCCTGAGCCAGGGTCAGGAAGGTAGAGGTTATAAGTACAGTAAGACACGTGAGGGTGCTGACTGCGGCTACTGCAGGTGGAGGTGGTGTGGGAAATGGGTAGATGAGAAGCAATGTTGTGATTTACTGCTCTTTGCCAAATGGTGGGGCCCTGTACTACCTTTTGTTCAGGAAGCTGTAGCTTGAGAAACCTTATTCTAATGTTGGGAGAGGATGGAACGGGCACTTACCTGGATACATTGGTTGTTGCTGTCTGCAACCACTATGCGGCCACTACTGGCTGCTGACACGCCCTGTAAATTGGTGAATTCGCCCTTCTCCCGACCACGGCTGCCTATGGGGAAGGAAAGCAAGGAAAGCAAACAAACACTCACTCACTCAGGGGTCATTCCAAACCTCGCTCCCCTAGCAGACCCTTGCCTGAGCCAGCCCCATATGACTCCATCCCGACCAGCTGTACCAACGCGGAAGACGAGCTCATCCTCAATAGGGTTGTCCTTCCGTTTGCCGCCTGTGCTGTACATGGAGCTGGGCCTACGCACCGCCTTCTGGCGCACATGGCTGCCTGGGCCGCCAGGCGACTTGACTCGGCGCTTGACGTCATCTGGAGATGGTGGCAAGTCCCCGGGACGCAGGGCACGCACACGAAAGGGGCTACCTCTCACTGGCTGTCCGTAGAGGAGCACGGAGAGGAGCAGCTCTCCTTCGGTGCGTGCGGTGTACACCAGCTCATACGTTCCATTGTTGTGGTCCACCACCGGCACTGGAAAGCGTGAGCCGTCGGGTCCCGTGATATCGGCGCGCAACTCAGCGCTGCCAGTGCGCACCAACCGCCCGTCCTTGTCTTTGGTAGTGACCGTGAGCGAGGCAGGCTGGCCCACTAGCGCCTGACGCAGGCCCTCCCCCGTGGCCACCGTCTCGTGTGCAGTTGCGCTCGTAGTGAGCAGCGCACCCACATTGAGCACCGATCTACGTAGCCCGTCAACCTCAAGAACAAGTTCCAGTTGCGCATTCTCGTGTGGCCGCTCTGGGAAGGCCTGTGCAGCCAGCGCCGCTAGACGCTCTCTCATGTGTTTGCGCACAAGCAGGACTTCTGGGGCGGAGCCCAGGCGCAAGGCCTGCTCCGCGAAGCTGCAGCTACTGCCAATGTGCTCCTGACCCTGGCGCAGTGTGTCTAACTGGGACTGCAACACCTGAGGAGGAGAGATACGAGGGTTAGGATGGGGGCTGGTGCAGAGCATGTCTGATGCTTAGTGAGCCTGGAGTGTTGTGGCATGGCAGAGGGTGCAAGCAGAAAAGGAACACATATGACAAGGAATAAGGATGCCAGCAACACCTGTAGACCATGTCTAGAAGCAGCAGGGATAGCCTGGGGAAAGAGGCACGGAGGTGTGAGAAGCAGGGGGAGCAATGGACAAAGCCATCCCATGAAGAACAGCAGGGAAGGGGAGACATACGCACCTTCTGCTTGGCACCACAGATGGCCTCCAGGTCATTGACCAGGGCCTGCTTGCGCTGTTGGAGAACTTGCTCTAGATCCTCGAAGGCCGCGCTGATCTGTGCCAGGGCCTCTGCTTTGCGCTCTTGCAGCTGCTGGCTGATGCCTCCAACTAAGGCAATAGCTGCAGACAGCTGTGGCAGTCTGGGGAGGGGAAGCATCTCACACAGGGTTGCTGGAGTGTGCCCATACCAAACTGTCCCTTCTCCCTGGAGACCCAAATGCTGCTCCCTGCCCTCCTGGGGTCTTCTCCCCTGCCCCACCCACCAGCTGGGACCCCATCCACTGCCAACCTGGCGCGCACAGCTTCCAGCTGGCGCTGCAGAGCTGCCTTATGTTGCTCCACCACATCCCGCAGCAGCACGGTGCCGTGCTCCCGATGCTCCCCTGCACGGCACTCGCCACACATGGCGGTCTCACAGGCCTCACAGTAAAACTCCATCGTCTGGGGGAGCAAGGAATCAAGTCAGGCAACCACTGGACACCCAACTTCTCTAGCTCCCCCCACACCCCATCAGCCTTCCCTGCCCCACGCCTTCCAGGTGTGCCACCCACCTGGAGCACTAACAAGAAAAACATCCTCTTACCCACAACCACTTGCCACCCCCACCATGCCTCGCCTCACCCACCCACCCCAAGTCCTGGCCTCACTGGGCCTCGCTTGGGCCCACCTTGCCTTCATGGTTGGGGCAGGAGAGGGGACGGCCAGCCACAGCGCTGAGGGGGTGGGGGTCCTCGGGGTCGTGGGCCCCATCAGGTGCCTGCTGCATGGCTTCCATGAGGCTGCTGATGAAGAAGTTGTTCTGCAGTGCTGAGACGCCCTGCTCGGGGAGGATAGATGTCTGCCGGCACACTGGGCAGGACAGCGTCAGGCTCTGGGCAGGGATGTAGTTCTGGAGGCATCTGTCCAGGGAGGAGAGAGAGTCAGCTGGGTGAGGGGATAGAGGGACCAATGTACCTTACCTCATACCTCATGTATGGGTGTGCAATTACACTTTTTTTTTTTAATGTTTTATTGTGAATTATGTGATAGTTTACATGGTAGAACACTAGTTTTACATTCATTCTATTGCATATTGTTTCACTGCTATGGTTATAATCCCCTCCATGCATCACCAACCAACCAAAGGGTATACACTACAAGCCTGCCCCCCGGTCATCAGCACACAGACCCTTTCCCTCTCTGTGTCTAAAGTCACCAACAGCTCCATCTCTCCACGTCATCGTCTCTGCCTCCATCTCAGGGATCACTGCTTCTCTGGATAGGGTCCCGCTCTCTGCTCTTCTCCCTTGATGGTCCCAGGGACCTCTGCTCCTAGGCTGAAAAGTTAATCACTCCCCTCCTTGCTATAAAACGTCTACCTTTACATTTCCAACCCTCATAAGCAGTGCTGATAACAATTATTCACTATTGTATCACAAGAGACCCATTCGCATTTCATTTCATCAGCCCCGCCTAGACTGGATACTACTCAGTGGAGATTCTACCTTCCTCCAGGCCTCTGAATCTAGGTTCCCTCTTGAAAGTTTGTAAGCCAGTCACTTCTTGCCTTTGTAGCCCCCTGCCCCATTTTGGGTAGCCAATGTCCAAGTTGCCCATCCCTGTCTACTCTGTGTATGGAGGGGGTGGGAATGATCCTTGCTGTAAGGATTTATTCCCTCTTGAGCTACTGCATCCATAGGTGTAGGTCAAGTTCATCAAATTGCATCAGATTACTCTTTTTTTCCTCTTCTTTTTTCTTCTGGTTGAGCTCTGATCATCCAGTCATTGAAGTCAGGTCAAGTGGGTATTATCTACAAGTGTGGGTGTTCTTGTGCATATGCCCTCTCTTCTTATCCACTGGATACTTCACTCTCCACTCTAGTCCTCTGCATTACACTTTATTTTGAAACCTGTCTAGTTAATACACGATCTTTTCTGCCAATAGGTATAAAACGCCTAATCTCTCAAATGGAAACACATCCCTGACCTCTCTCAGAAGAGCAACAGATCTGCAATCCTTGGTGGTACAAACACAGGTTCACCTTCCACTGGTGCTTATAAACCCTTTTCATAGAAAATGTACAACTAGCTCCCCTTACATTAAATCATTAACATTTATTGACGGACTACACTTGCCAAATTTGCCCCAGGCTTTGGGAGTACAATGGTAAGGCAAAGTGCCTACCCTTCAAATACTTCTAGCCTACAGAGACAAAAAATGTCAGAGAAAGAGAGAATTTAGAGAAGTGCATAGTACAATTATTAAGGACATGTATCCCGGGCCAGTTCAACTCCCAGGTAAGTCATTTATTATACTGTATGATTCTGGACTAGTTACTGAACTTATGCGCCAAGGATTCTGATTCCGTAAAATGAAGACAGTATAAACCTCACAGGGCATTTAGTGGATTAAATGTAAAGTACTTAGAACCAAGCCCTAGTTCACAGAGAGCACTACGTAATATAGGCTTTTAATATGATTTATGATTGACATAAGAAATACAGTAGCTGCAGTGATAAAAGAAATGCACAGAACGGGCATCTAGCCCAGCAGGGGTGGGCAGAGTAGCCAGAAAAGGCTTCACAAGCAGCCAAATTTTCATGAAAAACTTATCGTTAGCCTGACCAAAGAAAAGTGCAGGGAAAAAAGATAGGTGTTCCAGATACACATGGTGGCAAGAAACGAAGTCCAAGGTAAGGAAATATAAAGAGAAGTCTGGAGAGGGCAGAAGCAAGCTCACAGGGTCTCATGGACCACACCAAGAGTTTAGAGATTATTCCAAAGGCAATAGAGAGCCACAGGAGAGAGGCATGGTCAGGTTTACATTTTATAAAGCTGCTCCTGACAGCTGCTGTGAGGCGGAGGAACGTCAAAGGGCTGACCAGCAGGCAGAGGACAGTGGCATCATCATATCATCATCTAATTACCACTGATGGAGCATTTAGGTACCCAATGTTGTGCTTTGTGGTGTGTGTTATTTATTTTACACAAATATGATTAAATAACTTCCTGCATCTAATTTTCCTATTTAACAATGGTAGTGATAGTAGTTGTGTGTCATTGAGTTGCTTATGACTCATATAGGATCAGCACTGGATTGCAAATCACAAGGTCGGCAGTTCAGAGCCACTAGCTGCTCCTCAGAAACCCTACACAGGATCTTTTGAGTTAGAACCAACTTGATGGCATGTAACAACAACTATATGGCATTTCCAAGGCTGTAAACCTTTATAGGAGCAGAAAGTCTCATCTTCCTCCCATGAAGCAGCTGGTGGATTCAAACTTCTGACCTTGTGGTTAGCAGCCAAAGTCATAACCCACTATGTAAATTCCTTCATATATGTTTCCAGGATCTGTTTTGCCCAATCACTTCCAATGCTACTATAAAACTGCATGTGTCCACAACAGTAGGTGTTACTATCTTTCTTTTTTTAAAAAAGATTTTTAAAAATCTGATTTTCCTTATTTTTACTTTCATTTGCATTAGTCTGAATATTAGTTATGAGTTTGAATATCTTGTCATATATATATATGCTACAATTTCAAGAGGTGGTATATGATCAACAGTCAGCAGTACTAAAGGAAGCACTCCAAGGTGCACTGAAGCCATTGGCAAAGAACAAAGCTCCAGGAACTGATGCAATACAAATTGAAATCTTTCAACAAACTGATGAGAACTAGAGGCACTCATTCATCTATGCCGAGAAATTTGTAAGACAGCTACCTGGCCAACTGATTGGAATGTGCCCATCCCAAAGAGAGGCAACCCAACAGAATGCAGAAATCAACAGACAATTATCATTAATATCACATGAAAGTAAAATTTTGCTAAAGATAAGTTAAAACAGCTACAACAGTGCACTGACAGGAAACCTGCCAGAGGTTCAGGCTGGATTCAGACGAAGATGTGGAGTGGTGGATATCACTGCTGAAATCAGATGGCTCTTGGCTAAAAGCAGATAATTCCAGACAGATGATTACCTGTGCTTTATTGATTATGAAAAGGCTTTGGACTGCATGAATCATGACAAGCTATGGATAACATTGCGAAGAATGGGTATTCCAGAACACTTAATTGTGCTCATGAGGAACCTGTACATATACCAAAAGGCGGTCATTCAAACAGAACAGATATTGACTGGCTTAAAATCAAGAAATGTGTGCACCAGAGTTGTGTTCTTTCACTATACTTGTTCAATCTATATGCTGAGCAAATAATCTGAAAAGCTGAATTATATAAAGAAGAAGGTGACATCAAGACTGGAGGAAGAGTCATTAACAAACTGTAATATGCAGATTATACAACCTTGCTTGCTGTAAGTGAACAGGAATTAAGATACTTGCTTATGAAGATCAAAGACCACAGCCTTTGGTATGGGTTATACCTCGTTGCTAAAAAAAAAAAAACCTCACCACTTGACCAATAAATATCATCATGATAAATGGAGAAAATATTGCAGTTGTTAAAGACTTCATTTTGCTTGGATCCACTATCAATACTCATGGAAGTAGCAGTCAAGAAAGCAAATAAGGTATTACATTAGGCAAACCGGCTGCACAAGACCTTTTTAAAGTATTCAAGGGCAGAGATGTCAGTTTGAGGACTCAGGTGCAACTGACCCAAGGCATGGTATTTTCAATAGCTTCAAAGGCATGTGAAAGTTGGACAATAAATAAGGAAAATCGCAGAATTGACACATAGAGTTATGGGTGTTTTACATGAATATTAAAAGTACCATGAAGAATCCCCACTGAATAGTTTTCATCTTGTCTAGATGGGTCTGGTAAAAGGAGATGGGGATAAGGTTCTTATGATTCAATAGTGAGTAATTGTTATCATGACCAATTGCAACTGTCACAACTGTAAAGGTAGAAGTTGTGTAACCAAAAGGGGGGAGTAATTAATCTTACAGTCCAGGAACAGAGGACCCTAGAACCATCAAGGGAGAAGAGCAAGAGCAGAATGTGGGAACCTAACCAGAGAAGCAGCGGCACCAGAGATGGAGGCAGAGATGAGGAGATGGAGAGAGAGAGAGCAGCTGAGGACTCCGGATTCATGGAAAGAGAAAGGCTGTATGCTGGCGGCCAAGAGGCAGGCTTGCAGAATGTGCCCTTTGGTTGTTTAAATGATTATATATTCCTGAGTGTTTTTGTGTACAT